TTTTTTTTTTTTTTTTTTTTTTTGGTAACTTAGGAATCCCAGTCTTACTCAAATAACTGGTTCAGTTTTCAAATATATATCCTTTTTATCTTAATTGGAGTTAAGACCATTGTGACTGAGCACAAAAGCCTAGAGGGAACATTTCAGTTGATACAGGTGGTAGGTAAAGTAGGTATTTCTGTGTGTCTCATTTATCATAGAGCTCCTGGGGAGTACAGAAGGCAAAAGTACTGAAAACACCAAGCAAGACTAGTGCATATCCCTTCTCCTTTCTCACAACTGCTTTTTTCCTCCATAATAATAAGGTTGCTGGGTGTGGTGGCACAGGCCTATAATCCTAGCACTTCAGAGGCTGAGGCAAGAAGACTGCTAAATTCTGAGGCCTACACAGTGAGTTCAAGGCCATCCTGGATTACACAGTGAGGCTCCCATCTCAAAAAAAAAAAAAAAGGTTAATAATCTTGGCATTATAAGCAGGCTTGAAACTGATAGTAAAAATCATTCTTTTCTATCATGGTAAATAAAGCTGGAGGTACCCTGAATTGACCAAATGTGGCTCATGACCTCCACTCTGTTCTGATGCCCAGAGGGACTATTAATCTTTTTCCATTGAGCTCAGCTGCAGAATCAGAAAAGTGATTAGAGGAGAGCATTATATGAATTCTTTCTGTTCATGGCAATGGATGTGCTGCTGCAAGAGAGACCCTCGAGGCTCTGCCCTCACTTCCCCATCTCTGGAGTGGTACAAATGATTTAGTCTGAACCACATCATATAGCGGCTATTCACTTCATACTCCATTCCAACCACTAGCATGCAAAAGGCCACGCCAACCACTTTTAGATCGGTGAGAAAGAGCACTCAAACTTCAACTTACACTTTCAAGGGTCTTCTGGAACTCCAAGAGTTTAGCGGTGGCTTCCTTATAATTCTTGAAGAACATACACAGTTCATATACCTCCATCATCAATAGTAAAGGGGAATCCTTCAAAAAAGAGTTTAAAATGAGAAAATCCTGGCCTTGGTATCTTCTTGGTGAATAATACCAAATAAGAGAATGTTAAATGTTACTAAAAATAGCCTTACAGTAAAGTCATACATCTTAAAAAGAATAGTTAAATTTATATTTTCTTTTGGAAAAAAAGATACTCAGGATGGGCACAGCTATTCACCACAGAAGGGAGGAGTCACCCACTAGATGGCAGAATGGTCCCCCAACGTACATTCCTGGGTGCTGGGCTCCCAGGACCCAACCTCCTCAACCCACGGAATCCACTACCTTCAAGCTGAATTTTGGATTAGAAAGTATGAATCTAAATTCTAAATATATATAAAAAAAGAAAAAAATAAATTTTAAATATATACAAAGTACATATTACTACATAATGCAAAGTAGTAAAGTACTCTGAGTTCTTAGGCTAAATGCTGTGAGCATTAGCTCATTAGTATGTAAAATGAGGATAATGCCACTTCATAAAATCCTCCCATATTATCTTGTATAGTACTTTTGTGAGAACTTATTAAAATGGCAGAGCTGGAATGTAGCTCAGTGGTACAGCACTTGCTTAGCATGTGCAAGACCCTGAGTCCAATCCCGAGCACTGTAAAACAAACAAACATTGTATTACTATTGTCAACTACTGTTAGCTTAAAAAAATCTAAGGGATGAGAATATGAAAAAGTCAAACATAGATATGCTGAAATAACACCCATGAACTCTGGAAAGAAATGCATTAAATTATTCACTACCTTAAAGAAAAGCTGGAAACCTCTGATAAGAGTTCTACTCTTCTGCCTTGTTAACAATGCTCTCCAGACTATGGAAAGGTCCTCAAGGTCCCAGGTACAGTTTTCTGTCAATCCCGGAATATGATTCCTTACTTCGGTAGCAACACTGTCCTCCACAGAGGTAATGATCCAAACACAGAGACAGGGAACAGTGCTGGCAGCCTGACATTGGGTAAGAAATTTTCAAAATAAAATCATGGCCCGGGTTACCTAGACGGCATAACAAATGCTACAGATGGGTATTTCCTACCTCAACTAGTTAAAATGGCTTAAAAACTTCCAAACATCACACAAAATCTAATGAACACTAGAAGGACTATTACAAACAGTCCTGCAGAGTGTGGCACGTCAAAGGCCAAGAAGACAGAGGGGGTTATAAAAGAGCAGGACTTCGCTCCATGGAGCTGCCATTAGGGGACTGTGTGAACGTTGCCCTCCCTGCTAAAGCAGTGATGTATATCCACCAAAGTGTCCTCCTCCCCATATCACCGTCCACTAGGAACCATGGCTCTAACCACTTAAGCTCCCTGAATGTCAACACATGAGGAAGAGTGCCAAACGACCCAGACCCAGAGTCTAAAACACAGAAGACACAGTGCTTCACTGACCTTGAAACATGCTGGAGCTTCACTGGCATCATTAACCCACTTATGATTATTAGCCTTTCCTGTCATTTTTTCTATTGCTCTCTAGGCCTTTAATTTAGGCTTCTCCTGCCCCTCACCTGGAGACATGAAGCCAGGACACTGAGGACAGGGGCTTTTTGTCTCACTGCCTCAACCAGGAGCCAGCGCCAGGAGTCTGGCTGTGCTGAGCACAGGAGCAGAACTTCAAAGAAATTAATCATCTCTTCTTTGTTTCTCTGGAGTTCCTGAGGGAACTCGGTACTGACTTGACCACTGTCCATTCTACAGTTGGACACTGAGGGCAAGTTTTCAAAAGCCAGCTGTAAGTGGTCTTGAAGGACTGGGCTGAAACACTGAAGAAGGGATTTCACCTACAATGCAAATTAAATGATTAAAACAGAAACCCAACTTCTAATTTTTTTCCATTAAGTTTATTGGTACATTTAAAGCAAACAATACAGTTAAATTTATCATTGGGATCTTGTACCTTTACAAGATATGTCTTGGTTCTTGTTTAGTCCTGCCCCCGCTTCACTCCCTTCACCCTTCTCTATTTACACCCAATTTTTAATTTGACCTGGAGCTGCAAGTTGCAGAAAAATTCAGGCAAAATCATTCTTCTCATCCTGAACTGTGTCACAGGTGACCACACAATTTTACAAAGTTGTTGCTTTTGAGTGAATTTCTATATTCATTCTGGAGTCATAAAAACTTTTCAAGCTTTTCAGTATCAGTGACGAGTCAAGACTATTAATGTTTGACACCAACCCACTGGACTGTGAGTAAAAATAAGTGTGACTGGGGCCGGGGATTTAGCTCAGCAGTTCGGTGGCCTGCCTTGCAAGCACAAGGACCCGAGTTCGATCCCCAGTACAAAAAAAAAAAAAAAAACAGAAAAAAAAAAAGTGTGATATTAAACAAAAGGCTAAGGATAAATTTGGTCATTAACAGAACATGAATTCACCTTGAGTCCAGAATGCTACACGAAATAAATCAGACTCAGAAGGTTAAATATTACATGGTTTCACTTATATGAGAAATTCAAAGTATAAATCATTTGTAGATCAAAATAAAAGACAGATGATAGAAAACAGGAAGATCAACTCTGCAAGATGGAAAGAATGTCCGGGGATAGAGAGAGGTTGGGAGAAAGTAAACAGGAAATAGTATTACAAAGGCTCAAGAGTAGCTGACATGGTGCTACATGCCTGTCATCCCAGTACTTGAGAGGCTGAGGCAGGAGGATCACTGTGAATTTTGAGGCCAGCTAAACTACAAAGTAAGACCCTGTCTCAAAAAACAAAAAATAAAACAAAACAAAAAAAAAGGAAGAGGATCAGGATTTGATATGTATACGTTACCAATTCCCCACAATGAATGTATATTATATCTTGCAAACATATATATAATAAATAAAATATACTTGAGAGGCTGAGGCAGGAGGATCACTGTGAATTTTGAGGCCAGCTAAACTACAAAGTAAGACCCTGTCTCAAAAAACAAAAAATAAAACAAAACAAAAAAAAAGGAAGAGGATCAGGATTTGATATGTATACGTTACCAATTCCCCACAATGAATGTATATTATATCTTGCAAACATATATATAATAAATAAAATATATCATATAATGTATATAATATATAATAGAAAATTGTTTTAAAAATCCTTGTTTATGCAATAGTAAAAACACTATCTCCACAAAAGTGTTCAGATTTCCTCTTGAGTAGCTGCCAGCAATACAGCTTACCTCCTCTGGTTGGTAGTTATGGAGCTGGCTATGAATAAGGAACTGCAGCCAGTCGTTTGCTTTGGCACATTCTCTAAGGTAGGAAGTGCTCAGTTTCATATTGTGGAGCCTGCTGAACTGTACTACTAATGCCCACTGGTTCTCAGATTCACTGGATAACCTAGAATTAAAATTAAGGGATGGGATGGTAGAGAAAAAAAGTATGAAAATATAGCTTTAGTTTGAAACTGTCAAATTAGTAAAAATTAAATAAATTTAACCACAGTATATTTTCTAAAAAGTCTTCTATTGGGCTAATAAGGTGGATCAGTGGTAGAACACATGCAAGGCCCTCCTCAACACTGAAAGAAAAAAAAGCCTTTCAAAAATATTTATAAGACTACGTTGAAAATGGACTCTTGTTCATAAGATGGAATAGCTTTTTTAACATAGTGGCACAATTCATTCTTTTCCTAAATCATCAATCAAGTATTGATTCTAATAGTTATGGATTATCCTTAGAAAAACAGAAAACAGGCACTCAAGATATTTTCTGGTTAATTCTCTTATGGTTCACTTTAAAAGACTCATCCCTGACAGCTACCTGGCTGGACCTCCTCACTAGGGAGAGGGCCCACATTCCTCTCCAAGTATGATACTGCTGAGAACCGAGTCAGCTAGAGTGGAAACAGTATGTTCCTAGGGCTGCCCTGGGAGAGAACCCAGGAAAAAAAATGGCAAGAATGTATTTTTGCTGACAGATGCTCACTTTGACTTCTAATGGGCATTGACATAACGATAGGACAAAAACATTAAGGACAATATTTAAAATCAAATTTTGTGAGATTTGCCCCCATATCTCCTGAAACTATTTCAACATGTAATACTTCAAATATTTTTCTGACCTGAGTCAAAGCTCCTCTATATCTCTTGGTAAAACCATTTCTAAAAAGGAAACCACTACTGGCAAGTCACAAGTAAAATTACATTCCATTGATTTAGTGTCTGCTATACATTGAATGAATAAGATGGTCAGGTCTAGGGGCATTTTGGTGAAAACACCAAAGGTACTAGAAGAAAGACCAGGCCAACACAGGTTAGCAAAAGAAGCTTAACTAAAAAAAAGGCTGAAATTGCAACTCACAAACCTCTTTATTTCCTGGTGCTGAATGCTATGCCATGTACCTTCTTCTAAGAGAACAAGCAATTCTTCTGTGGCTGCTTTTTCATTATCCGGCAGTTTAGACAATTTCTCAACTATAAGAAATATGAACAGAAAGTATGAGCTGAGCAAGGTGGCATGGGCCAAGAGAGGATAATCACTAGAGATCAGGAGCTTGAGACTAGCCTCAGCAAGATCAAGACCCCACCTCAAACACACCCACATGCATATATTTATGCCCAAGAGAAAAAGTCAGGACCTAGGCATTTCTGTTTGAATAATACAGTCCAGAGCCAATTAAAGTGCCCAAGCAAGTGAGGTAAAGAATATATACATGGTCACTGGGAATGTAGCTCAGTGGCAGACACTTGCCCAGCATGCAGATAGCCCCACATCCAATTCCCAACAATGTAAAAAACAAAAACAGAAAACAGGAAGATAGCTGTTCCTTCCCAAATTCTCACAACTCAATGCTTTAGATCTATTTAGCCCTTTTCCCTTAACAGAACAAGCCACATAAAGAACTGGTGCTATACCTAAAGTCTCTTGGATAAAGCTGTACTGAGTGTCTTCATTTCTACACTTGTAACTCAAAATTATATTGGCCACTTTCATATCAACTCTCAGCTTGAGGCTGTCAAGGCCAAGCAATTCTAGGAAACAAACACAAGCAGCTCCTATGGAAGGGATGTGGAAAGAAGAGAGCCCTAAGATATAGGCTTCCTTGCCTGCTTGCTGGATCCTGAAAAAGAAAGGAATCAAAGTCAAATCAGCACATAAAACCTTTCTCACGAGGAAAAGGAAATGGAATTACATCAGGAATACATGGTGTGCCGGACATGCGATTTTTCACTACCTCTCCCCTTCCTTTTGCACCACCTACACATATCCATTTTGGTTCTAGGTAGCTTTTTAATTGTTTTCAGGCTCCAAAGTCTCCATTCCTTCAGATTTATCTTCTCCTGGAGCACCAACTCATAGTCTACACTATTTTTGCTTCTGACTTCATCCAGGAGGCATGGAGTAGAATTTCAAGCAAACTGTCTTATCAATTCTGAGTGTGTATATAAACTACCAAGAAAATGAATACCACTTAAGTATGACACCTTAAAGCACAAAGTTTCCACCTTTTATCTATGAATAAATTTCTAGAAAGATGCACAAGATGTCTTCTACCAGGTTAATTATGTAGAATGGAGATAGAGACTTAGGAGACTTTCGTCTTTCATTCTTACTTCTCTGAACTACTTAATCATGAAAATGTATTTCCTTGATAATTATAAAATAGCACAAATGAAAAATAGTGTCAATTTAGGTTTTAAGTACTCACAGCTTCTTGGGAGTCTTGCTTTTGATTAATTCCTGGACCAGAAAAGTACCAAATGCAAATGATGGGCGCCCATGATGTAAATAATAAGCAAAATTCAGACGTTCCACTACAGCGTATTTATTTACCAGGCAAGGGCTAGAGAAATGTGGGAGATGACTCAGAGCATCTAGAGGAGAAAGTAAAGCAATACTAATTTTCTGTACCTCATGATAGTTAATTTCAGATTTGCATATGGAAAGCTTAACTCTCCAATGATAAAAGATTGGTTTCTACAATTATTTTGGCCAAAGTACACCTTCTATTTCTGTACCTATCAAAATATAGTTTTATTTTACTGAAGGGTACAGATAGCTTTCATTTTATACAAAGATGTATATCTTTGTACTCTCGCCTATGTTGAACCTACTTGAATTTTATTTATTTTTGTTTTTCTGAGACAGGGTCTGTGCAGTCCTCGCTGGACTATAATTGCTGAACCTGCAATCTTTCTGCCTCAGCCTGCTGAGTGCTTAGATTCCCTGTATTTGCCACCACACCTAGCTTACTACCTCCTGTTATCTCAGTTGTGTTTCCTCCCTTCTTTTTCCTCCTAGAGACTCTCTTAGGATCCACAATTAGCACTGAAATGGTATCTGTTTCTAACCCACAAAGTGCTTTGGATGGATCTCCTCTCCTCTCTGGACTTCTGTTTATAGTAAAATGAGCACATGGGGCTAGATGACCCCTGAGAGCCACCTAAAGTGCTGCACGTTCTTTTTGCTAAAGGACTCTTTCTCCCATGAAGCGTGGTTGCTGAACTACAGCTGTAGCTAAGGCCTAGTAGGCCTGGCTGCCAGTGGAATAAAGGTCAATGACTTCTAGGTGCACAGGGATTTCTGGACTTACTAGCTGCAGTCGTATCTATGGTTAGTGACACTAAAATGTGAGTGAGGGGAAAAGATCACATTGTCTGGAATATCCTTAAACCAACGGAGGACAAACTGGAAACAGGAAAAAGCATACCCAGAAGTGACTCCTCAAAGGGCAATTGTGATACTGTTTCCAGGGGTAGGAAGAAGTTTTAGTGTGGCAGGTCTAGCATCTCAGTATTATTAAGGCTTTAGTCATAAGAAAAAAAAAATGCTTGATTCCTGATCTTGACACCAGTTGAGTGACCTTGAACAATTTATTTAGCTTTCTAAAAATTGTACATATTTAAAGAATACAATGTTTTAATATGTTTGTTTTGATTTAATAACTACAGACAAGCAAATACAACAGTTTACATACTTACTTTTCTTTCTGTGTGGTAAGAGTAAAATCTATTCTCTTAGCAAATTACCGCTATACATAATTATCAGCATGTTGTACCTCTAAACTTCTTCATCCTATATACACAACTTTGTACCCTTTATGTCTTCTTGTCCCCCACTGCTAATAACCACCATTCACCATTCTGTGTTGTTATGCACAGTAGAACTTCAAGTTATGACCGGCCTGTCAAATGAACAACTTGGGTTAATTAGGTTAATGGAAGATTCGTCCGCCTGTCGTTATCTACGGCATGTACCCAGGTAAACATCCAGATCTCAACTGTATTGTTTACAACTAACCAGCCTTTGCGAACGGATTTTGTTTAAGTGTCTACTGTATTGAATCGAGGGGTGGGAGTACTGGATATGGAACCCAGAACCCTTACACTGAGCTACATCCTCAGCTGTTTTTCTGAGACAGGATCTCACCAAGACTAAGTTGCCCAGGCTGGGATCAGACTTGCAATCCTCCTGCTGTAGCCTCCCAACATGCTGGGATTACAGACATGTGTCACTATGCCTGGCTAATTCTCCCCACCTCTCCTTCAGATACCACGTGTAATATATCATGCAATATTTACTTGTCTTTCTGCATCTGGCTTATTTCACTTAGCAGAATGCCCTCTAGTTTTACCCATATTGTTGCAAAGCAGGATCTCTTTTTTTTTTTTTTTTGGTACTGGGGCTCGAACATGGGCCCTTATAAGGCATGCAGGGGAACCAGTGAGCCAAATCCCCAGCCCCAGGATCTCTTTTTAATGCTGGACAACGTTCTATTGTGTACGTGTTACATGCTGAAATCTCTATCCATTCATCTGCCAATGGACAGTCCATTTGTTTCTATAGCTTCACTCCTGCAAATAAAGTTTCAAAGAACATGGAAGTGCAGGTGTTTTTATGTGGTAATTTTATTTCTTTTGGGCATATACCCTAAAGAGAGATGGCGAGGTCACATGGCAGTTCCATTTTTAACTTCTTTAGGAACTTTCATACTGTTTCCCACAGTGGCTGACATCAATCTACACTCTCCAGATTGTACAAGACTCCATTTTCTCCACACCCTTGCCAACACTTACAGTCCCGTTTTTGTTGTAAAAGCTATCCTAACTGGTGTGAAATGCTGTTTTCATTGTGGCTTTGATTCGTATTTCTCTGATCAGTGTTACAGAAGATTTTTTCACATACCCTTTGGCCACTTTGATGTCTTCTGTAGAAAAAGGTCTATTCTGGACCTTTGCTCATTTTTAAATTGAGGTATTGTTTTGCTACTGAGTTATATGAGTTCCTTATATATTTTGGTTACTGATCTCAAATCAGATCTGGGGTTTGCAATTATTTTCTGCCAGTCTGTAGGATGCTTTTCATTTTAGAAGCCATTAGTCTTGCTGGGCAGAAACTTTCTTGTTTGATACACATCCACTTATTTTTGCTCTTGTAGCACGAGCTTCTGGTGTCCCATCCAAAAAAGCAATTACCAAGACACTTTCCCTGTATGTTTTCTTCCAAGAGTTTTATAGTTTTGGGTCTTACATTTTAAGTCTTTTTTTAAAATAGTAAAAATTTTATTCTTTTCCTTTCTTTTTATATCAAATAAGTTAGGTATGATAAAATTTTTCAAGTTATAGATAATATTTCTAAATATTCAGTAAACAAAACAAGCCTTACTTCTAAATTCCTGAAATGTTGTTCACCAGATATAAGGTGGGAGCTCATATCATTCCATGAAGCATTAAGAAATCTGTACTATAACTAGGTAAGTAATAAATGTATACCATTACCCAATTCATAATAAAAGACCAAATTAAAACAAGCATATTTACTCTCTGTGTAAATAACCTAAAATTCCCAGATTTTAAATTCCATTTTCTACAATGAATCAATCAGAATACTTCTTTTATGTATCAGCTTCCCATTAGTTTCTAGCTTAGCAGTTACTTTCTAAATTTATTTCATTTCCATAACAATCTCCCCTTCTTGCCACTGACACAAATGTAAAACAGAAGTATAATTTGTCAGTTATTTTTATAAGTAATAGATCATTTTCCCACCACTACTAAACTTCATTTTTTTCATTATAGATCAGCCTGAAATCTAACAATACTCATCTTTCTCATCCTGTCAAAGGATGAGAAATAAACAAACAACGATTTATGGTAGCACAAGAAAAGATTACTGTGGCAGGCCTCAAAATTCAAGCAAAAGATTTTAGGAAAAGTGCTTAAATTCTGTTCACCATTATTTCTAATGTTTGCTATGGTATTTGGGGAATGCCACTGTTTTGAAGAGATGACTATAGATTCGAACAATTGAACACATTGGTGTCTATACAGAATCAGGTTCTGGTCATCTGCACAAATAAAGGGACAAGACAGATGATAATGAAAACGTGTAATTCCCAAGTTACTACAGATACACTGTCTTCACCCGAAACTCATGGGACTGAGTCTGAGGATTCAGAAAACAGAATTAAAATATACTGCAAAGAGAATAAGTATGATAAACTTCATTACCAAAACAATGATTAAGTTAAAATGCCATTATCGACTTGAGTTTGTCAGCTTTTGTTTATTTGTGATAAACCTTATCAAAGTCTCTGAGTTTATGATACACCAGCCTATCAGGTAGAATCATATCATCTAATAATCCAACAAACTTCTACATAATCCAACAAATTTTCAACTGTTGGAGAACAGCTGCATGATTTATGTTTTTCTGGAATTAGTTATATTTCCTATTTATTTTCACTAGATTCATCTGTCTGTCCTTGTCCTCTTCTGATGATTTCACAGTTAATATTTCATAACCTAGTCCAGTACTGTTTACTTCAAGTCATTTTTTTAATGTTTTCAGTAGTCATATTTTCTAATCCTTTGATATATCATAAGGTGGTGGCCACAGGTGCCACAGAAATATCTTCATCATTAAAATCCATGCTTTCCTTCTCTTCTATGACAGGAAGAATTTGCTTCCAAGCCCTGCCAACAGTAACTGGTTTTACTAAGTTCCATGCCATTGCTATTTCATAAAATGCATCCAGCAGTTAGTTAATTTCTTCCAGAATGATTCTGTTTTCTGGTACCAAGGATTGAACTCAAGACCTCGTGCTTGCCAGGCAGGCACAGTGCCACTGAGCTAAATCTCTGGCCCTTAGAATGATTTTAAGTCATTATCTTCTTCCATGTTTTCCAGGAAACGACCTGCCTGATGGTTTCTCTTCATTGTGGCTATGACTCCCTGATCCAAGGGCTGAATCAAGGAAGCCACATTAGCAAATGTTTGACCATCATCGGAATGCAGGACATTTTCATTTGAAGGTGTTGGTGAATTTTGCAACAGAAGCACAGCTTTTTCTTGCAAATCTTTGGATCATAAGTACTCTTGAACCTGTGGCACAAAGATCTTATTGAACTGCTGTCTGCAATTTCCATCCACACACTTTTTTAGCTGATGTTAAGAGACTGGCAGGTTTAAATGTCAGTTGACCTGACAGAGTGAGGTTTGTTTGCTTTGCCAACAACATAAAGTTTAAGCTGGTGTGAACCTGCTACACTGGCACAGCACACGAGAATAACTCTTCCTTCAACTTATTTATGCCCAGGAACAGTACATTTACCTTTGATTACTGAAGTCCTGGAAGGCAGACACTTCCAAAACAGTCCAGTTTCTCTGCATTGCAGATCTGTTCAGGCTCCAAGTTCTCTTGTTCAATAAAACCTTGAAGGTTATTACAAAAATTTGCCACAAGCAGTTTCATTCCCATTTAATCTTTCATTTCTAATGTTCATATCCCTAATGCTGTGCCGCTGTTTAAAATAAGCTAACTAGCTGAGGGGTTAAAATCGTCACCCATTTCTGAAGCGTAAAAGCAGCACTC